CCTTCCACTGAGACCAACAATGGGACAGCACTTCTTCCACTGAAACCAATGATGGTGTACTATTCTTCCCACTAATACCATTGATGGGGCACTACTCCTCCTACTGACCATCAACCCTGAGGCCATGTTTATTCTCACTGATGCTGGGGCTAGAATATTTTCTATCCTCACTGGTCCTAATCCGTCCATCCTAAAGTCTGAAGGTCCATATACTGGCCCATTGTTTGAAAAGTTTGGAGACCCCTGCTATAGCAGATGGACCATGAGGTAGAGGGCCAAAAGCAGTGACCCCCCCAGCTACTGGAGGACACCTCACCCTGCCCAGGTACCACACCTAGGACTCGTTGCCTTGTATCTTGAACACGTACTTGGTTACAATTTACAACAACCTTGCTCTTCCTTAACCCACTGCATAGACACTGTAATGTGGTGTTCGGTGAAGCCATTCTCACTCATGCACTATATTGTACATTATATACTTCTCACCATTGTCTTAACAGTTGCCGGGAAGCTGCTGTACCCAAAGGTTTTTTTTAACCTAGAATGCATGAAGGTAAAAAAAAAAAAAATCTGCCTTTATAACCACTTTAATGAAGGTCTTCTGTATGGTAGGCTCAGATAGATAGTGTACACAAAATCAGATGTAATAGAAGATGGGTTTTTTTTTTTGTTTTAAAATGATTGTGCTGAAGTTTATACATGTCTGCAAGACTCATGCTTGTAGTACGGTAATGTAAGCCTATTTTATGGGTACAAGAAGGCTTTTGTTTTAGTTAACCACGCCCCTTTATGCCCCTCCCACTGCTAACCTAATTTTGAAATGTAGAAACCTAGAAAAGTGACAGCAAAAAAAGATAGTGGTCCATCGAGTCTGCACGTTTTTTGTGTGTTTTTTTTGTTTTGGGGTTTTGTAGATCTATCCTGGTCTCAAGCATGTTTGAAGCTATTTACTGTTGACTGGCTCACTACCTCTGCTGGAAGTTTATTCCAAGCATCAACTACTCTTTCATTAAAATAGTACTTTCTGAGATTAGTTTTGAACTTTCCTCCAGTTAGTTTAAGGTCACGTCCCGTGTTCTTGATTTTGTGTTGAAAATACTGCACTCCTGAGCCTTATTCACCCCCCTCACATTTGCCACGAAGTACATAGCGTGCCACATTACTTCCCCACCTAAGGTTCTCAAACACTCCTCAGGTCTTTTAAAATCTTACCAACACCCCAACCACAATGAAAACCATGCCCACTCTTTGCTACAGTGCACTAAGCATGCCACAATTTAACCAAGCAATGGGCCCAGCCTATGAACTTGCACACAGTCCCAAACATTTCATAAAACGCCCATGCTTCAGACCAGGCTCAAGGAAAGTTTACCAGGCTTTACTGAATCTCTCAACAAGATAAAGTGCAATACAGTTCCAGACTAACTGAACTTTGTGACAGCCCAGGCATACCTTCTAGAGGTGAGAGTCCATAGTGGCTATTCCTGGTAGTACTCCAGTATTCTCAGTAGCGGCAGACTACAGGACACAGCAGTCCCTCCTCCTGGGTCTCAGTGGGAAAACACAACAGCAGAGCCCCAGGTAGGGTTGCCATCTCATCCCTTTAAAGCCAAACACATATTAATTACACAGGTTCTGTGGCTGATTAAAATGGTAATTAAACTCAGTGCCTTATCTGCATTAAATTAGCCCCAGAACCTGTGTAATTAATGTGTTCGGTTTTAAAGGGATGAGGTGGCAACCCTATACAGGACACAGCAGTCCCTCCTCCTGGGTCTCAGTGGGAAAACACAGCAGCAGAGCCCCAGGCCTCAGCCTTCCTCCAATTTATACCACAGGTGGGCCAACTGAAGTCCAAAATAACAGCAAACCGGGAATAATCAGATTAACCATTTCCCTACCCAGCTTGGGCCAATCACTGACTACCTTAAGCAGTACCCAACCTACTTGCACCTATACCAATCCTTTGGCCTCGTTCACACATGTGATGGTCCTAATGTGACAGCCATGCTCCCGGTTGCTATAGCACAGGGGTCTCCAAATTGTGGCCTGAGGGCCGGATATGGCCCTTTGCTACCCTTCAGGCACTATTCCTTCCACTGAGACCAACAATGGGACAGCACTTCTTCCACTGAAACCAATGATGGTGTACTATTCTTCCCACTAATACCATTGATGGGGCACTACTCCTCCTACTGACCATCAACCCTGAGGCCATGTTTATTCTCACTGATGCTGGGGCTAGAATATTTTCTATCCTCACTGGTCCTAATCCGTCCATCCTAAAGTCTGAAGGTCCATATACTGGCCCATTGTTTGAAAAGTTTGGAGACCCCTGCTATAGCAGATGGACCATGAGGTAGAGGGCCAAAAGCAGTGACCCCCCCAGCTACTGGAGGACACCTCACCCTGCCCAGGTACCACACCTAGGACTCGTTGCCTTGTATCTTGAACACGTACTTGGTTACAATTTACAACAACCTTGCTCTTCCTTAACCCACTGCATAGACACTGTAATGTGGTGTTCGGTGAAGCCATTCTCACTCATGCACTATATTGTACATTATATACTTCTCAAACACTCCTCAGGTCTTTTAAAATCTTACCAACACCCCAACCACAATGAAAACCATGCCCACTCTTTGCTACAGTGCACTAAGCATGCCACAATTTAACCAAGCAATGGGCCCAGCCTATGAACTTGCACACAGTCCCAAACATTTCATAAAACGCCCATGCTTCAGACCAGGCTCAAGGAAAGTTTACCAGGCTTTACTGAATCTCTCAACAAGATAAAGTGCAATACAGTTCCAGACTAACTGAACTTTGTGACAGCCCAGGCATACCTTCTAGAGGTGAGAGTCCATAGTGGCTATTCCTGGTAGTACTCCAGTATTCTCAGTAGCGGCAGACTACAGGACACAGCAGTCCCTCCTCCTGGGTCTCAGTGGGAAAACACAACAGCAGAGCCCCAGGTAGGGTTGCCATCTCATCCCTTTAAAGCCAAACACATATTAATTACACAGGTTCTGTGGCTGATTAAAATGGTAATTAAACTCAGTGCCTTATCTGCATTAAATTAGCCCCAGAACCTGTGTAATTAATGTGTTCGGTTTTAAAGGGATGAGGTGGCAACCCTATACAGGACACAGCAGTCCCTCCTCCTGGGTCTCAGTGGGAAAACACAGCAGCAGAGCCCCAGGCCTCAGCCTTCCTCCAATTTATACCACAGGTGGGCCAACTGAAGTCCAAAATAACAGCAAACCGGGAATAATCAGATTAACCATTTCCCTACCCAGCTTGGGCCAATCACTGACTACCTTAAGCAGTACCCAACCTACTTGCACCTATACCAATCCTTTGGCCTCGTTCACACATGTGATGGTCCTAATGTGACAGCCATGCAGGTGAGTGGCCCCAAACACACTGCATTCAAGTTCTGCACAGCCACGGAGTCCTAATAGACTTGAGACACTAACGGACACTGATACCAATTTAATATATAAAAAAAAAAAAATCTTCACCTTTGACCGTGACCTTGACCCAAACACTAACCCTGGCATTGAACTAGATCAAACCTTGATCTTTTGATTTTTTTTTCTTTTATTTTTTAATATTTATCTTTTTTTTTTTAAGCGCTTCCTGACCGGCCTATAGCAGATATACTGCGGGTGCGCAAAATCGTATGTATGTATGAGTGTGTGTATATATATATTTATATATAATGTGTGTGTGTGATTTTGCATTTCCGGTAGGGGGGTGCATGCGCGCCCTACCCGTGCCGCCATTTGTGGCCGCAGCTGTCAATCACCGGGTCCCGGTCGGTGCTTACTCGCTGGCGCCCGGTGATTGCTGAGCATTTCTGACAGTGAGAACTGTATGTAGACAAAACAGTTCTCCTCCCTGTCAGCTCATGCACACTGCCTTACATGGCTGTGCACAGCACAGCACAGCCATGCAAAGCAGTAAGCTTACACTGAAGCACATGGATACAGCCCAATGTAAAACAGCACACAATTAACCCTTTGATTGCCCCTTCCAGCACCTGGAAGTTGAGATGCCACAAAAAACCGCCCCGGTCAGATTATACAGGCATCATTGCCCATGTGAACAAGACCTTAGCAAAAATAATTTACAGCTGTATTATTTTGCACATACATGGTTACATAGTTGATAAGGTTGAATAAAGACACCAGTCCATCTAGTTCAGCCTGGGAACATACATATCCGTTTTGTGACTTTATTTATTAAAGCAACATTATAGTCATTTTTTCAGATACTAATATAACGTATATGTATTAGCTGTTTTTCTATAAATTTCCTCTTCTGAGCCTATTTTTTTTAAACTGTCCCCCAGTCGCACTGACATTTATTTGTGCCCTTTGTATCACCTCTGGAGTCGAGTCCCATAGGAGTCTTTTCTATGTGCGTGTGCAATCCCCCTTTGAACTATAACTGTACTTGCAGCTGTTCACACTCATAGGCAGCCCAGATCCACTGTCAATCACTGCTGTCAGAGGAGGACAAGCATGGCTTCTCTGAATGACTGCATGTACAGTTGTAGTTCAAAGCATGAACGTGCACACACAGGAGACTTCTACGGGACTTCATAGGTCCTAGTGACAGAGGGGGGGTACAAATAAAACAGGGGTGTGTTTTTTTACAGTTTAAAAAGTAAGTTCAGAGGAAGAAATTTATAGAAAAATCAGCTAATGCATGTAAGTTATATTAGCATTTTTTAAAAAGACATTCATGTCACTAAGTATGCAAATAATAAATATGCAAATAATAAGCCCTTGCTACAAATGTATCTAATCTTTTTTTGTATTACCTTTATTCTTTATCTAAACAGGCAGCTTTAACCAGGGATTCACTTATCAAGGTTGCTCTATGTGAACAATCCTGTGAATGCAGCATGAGTCACAGCCCCAGCCTCACCCTGGGTAGGAACACGCACTCTCAGCAGTCTGAAACATCCTCATGTCTCTCTGCTGGCAGTGATGGCGTCTGCTAATCTGAGAAAGCTGCTGGAATGTTCCGGTTGTCTGAACATTTACACCGATCCCGTTTTGCTAAATTGTGGACACAACTACTGCCGATCCTGTATTGATCGTGTGCTGGATACACAGGAGGGGGCTGGAGGTTATTCCTGTCCTGAATGCAGAGAGGAGTTCCAGGAGCGACCTGCACTGCACAAGAATATAATATTAGGTAACATAGTTGAGGATTTCCTGTCTGCTCAGCCAGATCAAGAGGAACCCGGCATCTCCTGTACTTACTGTATTCATGCTCTTGTGCCTGCTGTTCAGATCTGTCTGCTGTGTGAAGCTTCTCTGTGCAGTAACCATTTGAAGGTCCACAGCAAGTCACAAGAACACGTCCTATCTGACCCCACAACTTCTCCAGAGGATAGGAAAAGCTCCCTCCATAAGAAGATCCTGGAGTATAACAGCACTGAGAACTCTGAGTCTGTCCGTGTGTCCTGCTGTCTGATTGCAATACATAAAGGTGACCAAGTGGAATCAATGAATGAAATCTCTGAGAGGACAAAGAAGATGAAAAATATTCTGCAGAAACTGATGACAAAGAAAGAGGAGATGGAGAAGAAAGTCCAGAATCTGCAGGAACATCAGAGGAAAGTAAAGAAAACAGCAGACATTGAAATAAAGAGGGTCATTGACTTGTTTTTGGAACTCAGGAGACAGCTGGACAACCTGGAGAACAGAATCCTAAGTGAGATCTCCAGGCAGGAAAATGAGCATTATCTTTTAATTTCAGATATGATCCAGCAGATAGAAACAAAAAAGGATGAATTGTCCAGGAGGTTGAATCACATTGAGGAGCTGTGTAGCAAGACAGATCCACTGACTGTCCCACAGGAACTAGACACAGGTGACTTGTGTAATACTGTGGATGAAGATAATGAGGACACAGAGACATTTGCAGAACAGCTACAAACTGATGGTGATCTGAATGTGACTGAAATCTCGCAAATATTACGCAAAGGTTTAGCTAATGTAATAACAGAGGTTAATGGAGGGATCTATATACAGGAAGCCATAGACATTTTGCTGGATGGAAACTCTGCTACCCATAATATTCATATATCAGATGATATGAAAACTGCAACCTTGTTGGGAAACCAAAATCGCCCAGAAACACCAGAGACTTTTCAGTTTTATCCTCAGGTTATAAGCAGAGGGACCTTCAACTCAGGGAGACATTACTGGGAAGTGGACGTCAGGGGATCCCATTATTGGAAAGTCGGCATGTGTTATCCTAGTATACAAAGAAAAGGAGGAGAAAGGAGTGCAGGAGGCCTGTCTGGTCTACAGGAATTTGGATATAATGACAAGTCTTGGGTAATGGAGAGGTGGAATACTGACTATTTTATGATACATGACCACATAAGGTTCCAGTTACCTGATATTATCACAGGTGATAAGATTAGAGTATTACTAGATTATGAGGCTGGGCAGATTTCATTTTATGATCTGGGCAACCCAATCCACCACCTGCACACCTACATTGCCACCTTCACTGAGCCTCTCCATGCTGCTCTACTTGTATGGGATGATTATGGTTTTTTAACAATATGTGGGGGTAATCGACATTAAAATGTGAGATTTCTACCTGAAACTGGTGAGATCATAGGGAATTTGACTAGGTTGAATTTACAGCCAATGGAAATAGGTAGTGTCACTCAGTGTCCTGCCATGTTTTCTATAGAATGTTCCTCTTTTATAGAGCCCAGCTGTCAGTAATGACTGTTATACCTGAAAAACCTGTCATATTATTGGACTCCTCAGATGACCAGAATACGTCAGCACTTGGGGAAGAGTGCTGTTAGGTCAATCTTAACCAACTCCTGTGGCCAAGAACTTGGGTCTTCCCACACCTCAATTTTGTCCAGCAGGCTTATCCATCCTAGTTATCAGTCAATACTTGTGATAGGGACCCAAGCACAGGAGCAGGCTGAGATTTATACAATAGAGGGACCCAGATTTCAGGGCTCCCTGAGTGCTCTACAAGGTATGACTGGGCTGGGGGGCATTTGCCACCTAGGCGAATGCAAATAAGATATGTTGGGCTGGTGGCACCATTGAGACCATGATTAGAATGAGACCCACATTCAATGACAGCTGCTGGCCATTCTATAGATACCTGTCTTCCAGCACCAATTTAGTTGGCAGCTCCAAGATTTCATGTGCCATGTAATTTCAATGTGGAGAGCCATAGAGAAAGATGATGCCATAATATGTGATCACAATCCAGTCTTACTGTCTCTCCTCTCTCCCCGTCCTCTACAATCCAGACTTGTTACTTCTTTCTAGCTTTCTTAATCTCAATGCCCCCAAAAATTAGCTAATGCCCTATTGATTTATGCTTCTTAAAGTGTATGTATAGCCAAACATTTTTTTTTTTGCATAGAGTAGGGAAGGGTAGCATCTTCTGTCAGGTTATTTATTGCTGACTGCCCCACTGGGGAGATTTCCCCTTCCTTCCTGTTCTGGATGCACAAGAGAAAATGGAAATGGAAGGAATAAAAGGGAAAACTAAAGGGAATTTCCATCTTTGACAATTGTCAGCAGAACCTTTATCCCCAATGGAAAATTTCCCCTCACCTCCTGCTCCGGTGCCAACTGTAAAATTTTGCATTTCCCAACACTTTCTGGTCACCAGGACAAAACATGGAGGGAATTGTATTATGTGAAAATAGTTATGCATTTATATATATATTTAAATGAAAATGATATGAAATAATCCTTCCCTACTTCATCCAAAACTGTAAAAATGTTTTTTTACATACATTTTAATAAATAAAATGAACTGAGTTTTTTGAGTTATGTGTTTTTTGAGTTAGTTATCTAAGATTTTGGATAATTGAATATTGTCTGTTTACAAATATATATAAATGGGCCACTGTACAAGAGACTCAGATTTCCAGTATGACTGCTCTCAGAGCACCCAACTCTCTGTACTTCCAGACCACAAACAATAAAAGTTGCTGAGGATGCATTTTTTTTAAATTTCTTAAGCGTGAATTGTATAATAAAGAAAATACAAAAATGTAGGTGAATAGCATTCATTTTACATTTTAGTTCTAAAATTTGTAGGCTTATTTGATACAGTATATTCACACAAGAGCAAACCGCTAAATGCAAAGCATAATAGCATAGAAACCGATGGGAGCTTTTCAATAGTCTGATCTCAGTGAACCAAATTCTGATTGGTTGCTGCGGATTACCACACTGCTTGAAATTGTAATTGCATAGTCTGTATCTGTCTTGCTCAGAAATTTTTTTTATAAATTCCATGTGAAGTCTGTTAGGGCAAAAATATATGCTATACATGCATATTATGTTTTATTTCTTAAAAACCCTGCAAGTACAGAAAAATACCTGTTGATCTGCCAGAAATGCACTCAGCATCTAAATTCTGGTGTGTATTAATACAACAAACAGCATTTCTGTGGTCCAAGTGGTGTCAGACCTGCCCAGTGTTATTTGTTAAACTACTGAATCTCCCCCTCCTTCTACCTATCTCCACACCCTAGAAAAATCATTGTTTTGTAGTCCAAGATAAGCACAGCAAAAGGTTAATAACTTCACATCATCCTCCTCCCTCACCCCTCGGCGAAGTGAAAATTTTCCCCCTCATTCCCAACCCCTGCAACCTCCTGAGCAGGGGCGGACTGACAACTCATGGGGCCCCCGGGCAATAGGGGATCATGGGGCCCTTGTGTCCTTGCCCAAACTCAAAAAAACTATGAAAAAGGCACAGGGGCATCTCATGGGGCCCCCTACTGACCCTCCGGGCAATAGGGGATCATGGGGCCCCTCTGTCCTTGCCCAAACCCAAAAAAGCCTATGAAAAAGTTACCAGGGGTATCTCATGGGGCCCCCTACTGACCCCGGGCCCTCGGGCAGTGCCCGGGTTTCCAAATGGTCAGTCCGCCCCTGCTCCTGAGACACACAAGATGTCCCAGGGGACTGCGGGACCATTCAGAAACCACACTTTGACTTGCACATGGGATCCAGCTGTGAAGCCCCAGGAAGTCACAGCCAGCTTCCCACCAGCAAGATGGGGACCTGATAACCAGCAAAGAACCAGCCGGGGTAATGACAGCACTGGATTATGTATTTGTAGCTGCTGACTTATTATTTTTTTTTCAAACATAACCGGAGTTCCTCATTAAAATGTTAGTTCATCTATAAAGAAAATCTGTAGGGTGACCTTACACTGGACCCCTTCCTCATCCCCCCCCGGCCCTGCTGTACTAGAGTCCTCTGCTGTCAGACACTGGCATGCTGCTTCTCTCTTCATAATTCAGAAAATTTGCTGAATGGTGAATGTTTTTTGGAGAATAAGGATATTAGTTAACCTCCCTGGGGGTATTCCCAAGTGTAGCTCGGGGTAAAGTTTCAGCACCACAAGCGGTAACCCCGAGCTACATTCTGGAATACCCTGCAGCGTTGTTCCAGGATCTGTTCTTAACTTACCTTGTCCTGCGCTCCCGCGATGTCCCTCCTGCAGTGTCCCCTGCAATGTCCTCGGGCCGATGCCGGCATCCGTCTTCTGGGTTCCGTTCCCTGCGACGTCAGGACATATGGGGGACTGAACTGGCAGGAAATGTAAAAATGTGAAAAAGTGACATTCACTAAATACACTAAAATTACATAGTAAAACATTACTGTATCAAAGCATTTCACATACATTTTGTCCCTAATGCTTTGTCCTGTGCCCTGCCTGCATTTTTACCGTTCTTTCTGCCTGGAAAATGAGAAATGTCCATGGCGTCCAAAAAGTGTCCCTTTAGGTCAAAAGCGATTTTAGACCAGCTAGAAAACCGCGATAGTGAATTTGAACCACTTGCAGAATTGAGTGATAATGATTTGTGGGGAAATTCGTCATCAGACACTGAAAACGATTTTGCGACTTTGCTCAGTGATGTGCAAACTTGGTGCTATATTTCAAATTTCAGTGTTTTTGGTTTGATTATAATATTGAATTAAATTTATTATATTATTTTTTTTATGATTATTTATTAAATTATAATTTATGATTTCGTGTTTCAAATTTTAACATACCCGAGATGTTTACTAGACACTTGTTCGGACAGATTTCAGTGAGTTATTCCTAAAAATTACAGGCCTACAATAAAAAAATACATATTTCCATGCAAAAAAATGTACCTCTTTGAGCAGAGAAATACTGACATAATGAGACCGCTAGGGAGGCTAATGTCACTTTAGGTCTCATACACACAGGCGTACCTATCTTTACACCTGTGTGAAAGCCAATCTTTGCCCACAAAGGATGCACAAGTGTTCCTTGCATGTGCATGCCTGTAGTTCCATGTATGTCTGTTGGGATGCAGTGGATATAAGGACACAGCCACTGCTCTCAATTTTATTGCCATGTGGGTGCATGTACCTGCACCTGTACAAATGGGACTGTCTACACACGGATGCATGAAACAGCTTTGCATACCCTGCGGGCCAAAATGACCTTTTGCACAGGTGTACAGATAGGTACGCCCATGTGAATGCAATCTTATGCTGCAAAGACATCTGGATTGGGTTGTACCCATGCCACAGCAGTGCTTCCTAAGTGCTTCATAAAAATTAAACCCCCCTACTGTGTTCCGAGAGCATTACTGCCACCAAATGTGACCTATTCAAGTGAATGCAGCTTCACCTGCAACTGCTTG